ATCAATGTGTGTTTGTATTTTGTTATTTTTTCTGGTTTCAACATAGAGTATTATTTAGGGTTTCTATGACAAAAGGATTTGATTAAAACATTTGAATCTATAATCTATTTTCTATTTTCTATCAAATATGGCTCAAACATGGGCTCAATTATACAAATTTTTTAAATCTCAATTTTTATAAAAACAAATAAGCATTTTGAATAAAATAATTTACATGTGAATGTATAAGTTTTTCCTAGTTTTAATCAAGCATTATAAAAATCACTTTTCACAAAATCTAATTTTAAAAAAAATCTATATCAAACAAACCTTTAAACTTTTATACAAGGTAGTTCACTTGGCATTAGAATTTGACGGAATACACAAGTTGAGTCACCATTTATTTATGAAAAACTGTGTGAGACAATTGATCCAAAAAAAAAATATAATTTACACAAATAGAAGCATATTGAAACTAGATTTAAATTAGTACACGTAATCTCTCTCTAAAAGCCTAAAATTTTCGATGGTGTTTTCAATATGAAAGTTGCTCATTGAGACTCGATGAAATATGACAAAACACATCAAATCGAACGCAGTGGACATGTTATTATGCATTGATAGGCTACTCTCAAGAGTGATTGGCCGTTACTCAAGGACACATAAAAAAATCCTATAATAGAACAGTCATGTTTACTACGTAAATAACGTAGAAGTGTAATAAAAAAAGACGTCATATTAGTAACAAGAACTTACATCACAAAAAAAATGTCGATTATTTGAATTCAAAGCGAGTTAACATAATGCGAAAACAGGATTTATAAAATATTATGTCAAAAACATTTAAAAGTAAGAGTTTCTATGAGTGAAAGCTCAAACTATGAGTTAAGTAGTTCTCTAAAGGGTGACAAGAAGCAAATCTAGAGGCTCTTATTTGTAGCCATTAATAAGTTGAAACTAGAAACCAATTTTTTGTGCTAGGGATTACTTCTAATTAATTATGGATAAGTTATTCTGTAACCTCTAATTGTAATTAACTAGGTGAAGTTTGTATTTGAATTGTTTTCTTTTTCCAATCATAGAGTACACTGAGTGTGTTTGATGGATATTATTGAGGAAAGAATGGATTTTAAATAGTCATAAGATGAGAAATATGTGGTTAAAAAGTAAGGAAAAATTATAGATGTGATATAAAATATTATTTTATTGAAAAATGTGTATTTGGAAATTAGTTTTGAAAAATGTATTTTGAGAGAATGTGTACCAAACAGGGGCCAAATTTGACAATTTGCCACATTTGATAATTTTTCAAAAAAAAAAAAAAAATGTTTTCCCTCAAACATTTTTTTAAAACAAAAGCAATGTCAAGCATGATATATACATGAGAGTGTAAAAATGGCATCCCTTCTTTTTTTCACGAGGTCTTGTCTAGTCCCCTCCTTTCCATAAATACCCACTTAGGTGGTTTTATCAAAAAACAGAAAGAAAGGAAAAAAAAACTCAATAACATGCATAACCTGTTTTAAGGTTGGCATGATGCAGTATTTCACGCAGAACATGTACGTGAAAGAATAATTATTAATTTGCCTCATAATTATGATTTTTTTAATAAATTAATAATCTTATTAACTTATTTAAAAAATTTCAATGCCCTAGTAATTTTATATGTACCTTGCACGTGAATCCTAATCAATGACAGCGTTGAAGCATGTCATACCAAGAAAGTACACCCACCCCCAAATACTTGATTGTTGGAGGGATCATGCTTAGACGTTCAGGGTAACATGGGCTCTGTATGCACCTTGCTCTGTCCTTACCACTACAGCAAATAAAGCCTTTACACCTACTCGCTTATCGAAGGTTGGGAAATATTTCTTTATCCACTTAAACGGTATGAGCGTAGTATGAATGTTGCTCGCCACGCTTTACAAAATCATGGGTTGAATGAATGTTGCACGCCACTTTTAGTGGTGGCAATTGAGCCGAGCGGAGTGGCGGCAATCGAGCCGAGCGGCTCGTCGGCTCGACCGCTAGGCTCGTACTGTAGCGGTCCACGAGCCGCTCGGGCT